TAAAAAATATGAAAATATATTAGAAATATTTCAGAAATTCCATGTAAGATATATTCTGCCTCATGGTGCTTTTACGTTTTGCTTTATGAATACATAATTATTTTTCCATGTACTTTACTGCGATAGACGTGACTTCTTTTCCGAAAGTTCTAGGAAAAACATCTTGGCTTTGCTTCTAGTAAACCTATAAATATTAATTAAATTGGAATTTTACTGTGTAATATTCATATTCCTATGCTTAGTATATATTAATTATGATTTTAAATTTACTATTAGAATGAGGATTGAAATTTCTAAAAACTAAAACCAAATAGATGTCAATACCTTTGTGTTTCTATTAGCTTTTCCATATGAATATATCGATATGATTCTTTTATTAAATGCGGAACTATACACGTGCTGTTCAATCTATTCTTGTATTGATGTTTCATCAACCTTTGTCCTAAACTATTGATGTATATATATATATATATATATATATATATATATATATATTACACGTGTGTAGAATCCATTGTTGGATTGTGATTATGTACATATTTACTCTCTATATATAATCTCTGACACGACAGCAAATAATATCAGCTAATTCCATATCGAATCAGCAGCTAATCTAATTTTAACTCTCTAATTGAATCGATATTTTAAGATAAATGCAAATATTGTTTGCACACAAATTAACTTTGTAAATATCCCAATGATTCTAGTGAAATATATATACACATACATATATACATGTAAATTAATATAGGTATATGTGTATATTTTATATCGAATCTTTACAGTAGATTTTTTTAATATTATTTAGTATATATTGGTATAGTATTATTATTCATATATGTGTCACCAATGCACCATTTGAGATAATTTTATTGAACAAAGATGGAAATTGTCTAAGCTCGCTTACAAAATTACTAATTGGTTTATATAAGTATTATCTCATATACATACATAATTTTTTAAAAGGGGTCTCATACCTAATTGTGTAGAAGTTTACTTGAGTAAGAAATTTCTGATATTAGGAATCTATTTTATACATTTTTTAATATCTATTCTAATTTTGCCTTTTTATTTGCAGGACTATTCAATGAGAAAATACCTATCTATCACTCATCATGACAAATTTGGTAAGTAACAATTTATAGTATTTCTTTATGCAATTTGTATAATTTTCTTTGGCACATATTTGCATATTTGCAAAATTTGGTTGCAAATAGTGATATATGTGAAAAACTTGAATACGGGGATTTTGGCACAGCATTTCACATTTTCCTATAGATAAATAAATTTTAGCTATCCATAGTTTATATAAAATTTAGCTATCTATAGTTTATACAATATAATACAAAATATATTATTAAGTACCAATATTTTGCCAAAGTATAAAACCCATAATAAGTGTGCAAAGGTCGAATATTTTCATTAAAAACACTATAGGAAACTTAATTAACACAATATAGGATAAATTTAAATATCGAACCAAGAACTTACTTTTTTTGTCTCCAAATAGTAAGAAAAACTAAATAGTTTAAATTCATATTTTGTTATAATTTGTTTGAAGTTTTTGTGATTGTATTATTACATAGATGACAAAGTAGACAATTAAAAAATTGTTTTTAAACATTTGCGTTTATATTGTGGTAATGAATTATACAATCGATTCATACAAAAATACAGATATCAATTGATTTATTATTATCGAAGTCAAATAATGCAATGACAACATTGTTTAATCACAATCACACAAACTTTAATAGTTATCTATGAATAAGTGCTCAGATTACAATATCGCTTTCTATTGTATAATTCAAATATAAACATTTTTTTGATTATAATGCATTGAATTAATATTTACAATAACATGAAAAGAAATATGATAAAGTAGTTTGATACTGATAATTTTGTAAATGTATTTAGTACAACTATTTTTTCAATTCTTAATATGTATTATTAAGAATATTTGTTGCTAACACATATTACAAAGTCATAAAACAATAAAGACTGGTAATATCATATTTCAGACTTTCTTATGATTATATAAAAAATGCTATCTAGTGTCTTTATATCACACATTATTGAAATTTTGAGGAAAAATATTTTTTTTGTATCTATCTTTCAACCATGTCTCAATACTGAAATTTGAATGAAATTAAACTGTGACTTTGACTTTGACTTGCATTAGATGTTTTTAAATTTTAAATTCTGAGGTATCAATCTGCCACCACTATAGCGGTTTACAAACGAATACAATTTTATTAATTTTGAATGAATAAAAAAATATAAATAACGTAGAATTTATCAAAGCTCTTAAAAATCAACTGTTATTGAATTAAATGCTCTTGAACTAATTATCGATCACTCGACCTTCGTCGTTTCGATACAAAAATACTAAATTCACATCATCTACGGGCGTTTCCATTGAACAAGTATTTATAATACTAAAATTTGCAATTTCTATGTTTGTTGTCGCTTTGTTCATGTCAATCCTTGACTTTATTATGTTGGAATAAAAATTGCAAGAATACAGTTAGCAGTAAATAAATTAACTGGGGAGGCGATTGTTTTACTTAACAGTCTTAATAGATTTTCATTTAATCTGATCCGAGCGATATAAAAACGTGAGAAGAATATAGTATTGTACATTTGCTCATTTTGTGAAATTTGGAATGTTTTCTGCTCTACCATCTGTTGCGAGCTTTCAAAGCTCAACGAAAAACTTTGCAAGCTTTTCAGGGAACTTTAGGGAAATATGTTTGTAACTTGGATAAGTTTCTAGTGATATGTTGGAGATAGATGGTGACTGGATATTCAGTGAATTGTAGTAATTATTTATATAGATAAAATTGGTGTGCATCAAAATAAAACGAATCTAAAACTTTAAAATGAAAACGAATCTGAAACTTTTGCATCGGTTCTTTTTTTAATTAATTATACTTTTT